CTAACTCATACATCATCAAGCTGTATGGAATTGACTCATTTCGAAATATTGGTGAAAAACATCACACATAAGCCGAACTGCTACGAGCTAAGCCCATTTTCTCATTAAATTGTAAGGTAGCTGTTTCACTGGATCGTCGTTCTGCTTGCAACCGTGGAATCCACAGAAATCTGCGACTGGCTTCCTGTTCTGTTCTTTTCAGAGTGTGATGATTATAACAATTATATTATCATTATAGTTCTTCGAAAACAAACATTAGGAAGGCGACTAATTAGATAAAACTTCTCGGGGTTTCACGAATGCAGCAAACTCAGAAACCGGATATATTGTCAGCTGCAACAGTGATACAAAAAAGTCCAATGATATCATTACGGCTCCTCAAGGAACCGTTATACTGACTTTTGAAAGTTAACAATGCTAGATGGAAAGTTATCCCAGAGGAGCTATCGTTGGTGAATATAATTTATGAAGTATTTTTTCGGACTGGCCGTTAAAATGCTGAAGAACTTTGAGTGCAGAAAAGTTAAAATTTATTAAAAAAATAAATTGTAGAAGAAATCTGCATAAGTAATCCAGTTTTGCTGGTAGAGAATGTGAACGGCTGTCACGGGAATTCTTGCAAGAAAGTTAGCAAAACCAAAGAAGTAACTGTCTCTGCGAAAAAGGGTTAGTGAGCAGCAGTGGAGCTCATAGGCCAGAGTTGCACTGACAACATAACTCTGGCCCATGGGCTGAAGATGAGGGAGCTCAGGTTTCCTCCGGCTCAAACATCCCAGACGCAATAAGAAAGGAATTCGTTTGCGAAAATGGCACATTCGTAGTCAGGCACAGCAAAATCTGCACACGTGCCAGTCATTCAGCTCGCAAAAACGCGGGCTTTCAGGAAGTTTTTTTTTTGGGTTCAGTGACTTATATTTCACGTAGTTAATTTTGTCAAGTTGTGTCTGATGTTAGCTCAAGAAAAAGCTGCTCGAAATTTACTTTTGACTGAGATTGATTTTGAGCTGTTCATAAGCGGATGGCTGCTGCGTAAAAGTGCCAGCGCGTGATGGCGGCTTCGTAGCACATACCATTCGACGATACGCAAAATAGAGCATCACCAGTCTCCATAGGATACTTACTGTTGTTGCCGATGAAGATATTATCAGCGGCCATTGCAACACCTTCAGCAAACCCACTCGTGCCCATTTATTGATTTAAAATATGGCATTCTTTCTAATTTTTATTTTCCAACATCTTAAAACTCCCCCTAATTAATTCTCTTTGCGAAATGGGGACACACGAAAATAACCCGGTAGGGAACAGTACATGCCACTACTACCAAGAGCTGCCGATGGCGCTTTATTCCACGATTTTTCTAAACACAAGCTGATGACAGTTTTAACCACATGTGTGTGCCAGTACCAGTTTAACACCGAAATGAATGATTTTTCGAGGAACAGACTGTCTCGCTGGTAGAGTCAAATCCTCGGTTTACTTCATAACAACAGCGCGCCACTACCCACTGCGTCATGCCAGCAGATTGTATAGACTGTAACAGACAGGCCAAAGCAAACCTGCGGGCTTGCACAGCGACAGGCAGTGATGAAAATAAAATTCATAATTGTCAAAGGCGTATCATGCAGTACCATGAATAAAAACGCTATTCGAAAATTGTTAAACGCCTGAAATTTGCTCCATTTAATTGAAGTTCTATAAATTCGAACTTATCTCTGATTACAGTTAGGGCATGACACTGCCCAGAGTATATCTTACTTCTCATTGCATACTAAAAACTCAGTGATCCCTGTGCTCGCAAAATTTCCTCGTTCTTGATCCCAGTCTGGAGCAAAATCTTTGGGGAACGAGTACGCAGTCAGCAGGATTCGAACCTGCGCGGGCAAAGCCCATTTGACTTCTAATCAAACTCCTTAACCACTCGGACATGACTGCTTCGGCTCTAGACCCTTTCAGCTACCCCCGGAAACAAAATCCCTCCTGTTTCCAAAATCATTGCGGAACGCAGCCAGCAGTCATGAATAACTCCTAGAACATGTCTCAGTGCCCGGTAGTGGTCATGAGAGAATTTAAGGAGAATAAGTCTGAATGATGCATTCAACATTTCTTTCCCAAAGTAAAGAATCAGAAAGCCAAAAAACAAAAGCCCAAAACTGGTAACAGACTATTAACGTACAGCAAGCACGAAATGGTTTCTAAATCTGCTGATACCGTGAAGATGCACTATGACGGAGCGACAGCAAGAAAGTATGGTTCTCGAGTCCTCGAGCTGCTCTTATGAGAATTTATGGCGTTAAAACGACTTAAGTGAATAGAGCCAAAAGCACAGGTGCACTGACAAACCTGAATCCATTGCACAAATGCTTCGTAGATGACAGCGAAACCACTGCGATATGGAGTAATGTCCAGACGGTGAGCAAAAGCATTTTCGACGCATAGAACCTGGAAAACACTTCTAGCAGAATCTCAGAACGGACTTAATAAATAGCGACGCGCACCAGGACCACCGGTGCGAGCATGTGTTTTGCGCAGTTCCGTCCAGTGAACGTTTGCTTAGGATTTTCACTACTTTACACTTTGGCCTATGCAAAAATAGTTGAAATGTTGTCTGTTTCCAAAGATGTGGAATTTTCCACCAAATATTTCACGTACAGGTACGTGAAAGCTGAATTTGAAACCTCGAACAGCGAATATGCTTCCGAAATTTCTATCTCCTACTTTCCTGGGTTTCGAGTAATTTTTGCTGCAAAAATTTCACGCGGTCATACGTAAGATCGGCATACTTAGGAATTCGAGTTTCTGAAGCCTTGGCTTTTGCAGGAAACATTCCCCTCAAATTTCCAACCTCCTAGCTTTTCTTGCTCCCGAAATAATGATTTCTCTTGCCAAAAATTTCACTAAGTCGTACGTGATAACCAAGTGTAAGAAAGGGCCGAATTCAAACTTGCGGTATTGTACTTGGACAGGGGACATTACGCTAAAGTTTCAGCTTCCTAGATCCCGTCATCCGGAAATAATAATTTCCTGTCAAAATTTTCACTAGGTCGTACTTGTCACTCGCTGGCGCACGAAAACTGAGTTAGGGTCGCACACGGGGAGGGGACAAGCCAATAAAATTTCAGCGTCCTAGCTTTCGTGGTTCCTCAGATAATAATATTCCCCGCCAAGATTTTTACGAGATCGTACTTATTACTAGCGGGTAAGGGAAGGCTGAATTTAAATTTATAGTGTCATACGTGGGCTGGGAACGCGCTCCTAAATTTTCAGCTCCCTAACTCCTGTGGTTCCCACATTGAATGTTGCGGACCAATTGCATCGGACACACATACACACACACACAGACAGCTCCTTGACAATATGCATTTTGTGCAGCTGTTGCACAGCACAAAACGCATAAAAACAGCGAGATGCCTCACAACTGACGGTTCAGCGCAGATTCATGAGGGGTTAACTTGAATTAGCTGATTATTTTTGATGAACCTTGTAATCCCTCAGAATTTAGATGGAGTTGTCACCTATCATGGCAGTCATGTCCGAGTGGTTAAGGAGTTTGATTAGAAATCAAATGGGCTCTGCCCGCGCAGGTTCGAATCCTGCTGACTGCGTACTCGTTTTCCAACGATTTTGGAAAGGGGAGGGATTTTGTTCCGGACTGGGATCTAAAGCAGGAATGTTTTGCAAGAGCCGTCAAGATCCCTGTAATGGCAGCTGATCCAAGTAGTTATCTAGTATTGCTCGGGTAATGCTCAAGTAATGCACATTTCTCATCAGCGTCCACGCACCAGTCCAGCTCGGACAGATGAGCAGGACGGAAGCGGAAAAGCTGGGAGGGGCGGAGCGACTTATCCACTTAACGGATACCTCTGGAATGTGTGGATGGGGCGCTTTATTATGTACTGGGAATGTTACCTGGATTTTGATTTTTATGCGTTTTTGCGTATATGCAAATGCGAAAACGCATACTGCGACGACCCTGGTGTGTGTGTGTTTGTGTGTGTGTGTGTGTGTGTGTGTGTATGTGTGTGCGCGCGTGCGCGTCTGCCCGGGTATTTCAACTCGGCACCCAAGCAAGTTCCGGCGACAATATTTTGCCGGTGGGTTCCCCAACCAAGTGCCACCTCAGGACCGCGGTACCAACTTGCACGCAGGTCTGGCCTCCGCGTACGAGAGGCTGAAAGTTTCGGTGGAAAAATCGCTAACTCGAGAACAAAAAAAGCTAGAAAGCCGAGATTTTGAGGCCATGTTCCCCGTCCATATGGAACTCAAAGGTTTCAAATTCAGCTCTCATGTGTGCGTAGCACCTGCGTATGGCCCCGTGAGGCTTCCTGGCGCGAAAATTGCTAACATGGGAGCCAGGAAAGCTGGAAGGCTGAAATTTTCAGGGAATGTTCCCAGTGTATGTACAACAAAAATTTATTAGATTCAGTCTTCAGTCATTCGTGGTTCTCTCGTACGGCTCCGTAAAATTTTTTGTTGGGAAAATGGCTAACTCGGAAAATTGGGAAACTGCGAGCTGAAATTTTAAGAGTATTTTTCCAGCCCCCGTGGAAGTCAGAGATATCAAATTCATCTCCCAGATACGTGTGGTTCTCACGTATGGATCCATGAAAATTTTGGCAGGAAAATTGCTAACTCTAGAACTGGAGAAGTACCGCGTAGACAATGAATTTCCCGAACTTCGAGGATCAGTATTTTGCAAATCCTAGCTACCAGGTTTTCGAGCGACCTCATTACAGTACGAGATACTGCAAAAACGAATGATCGCACAGGCCCGTCCGGTGCGCGTCGCCAATGATCTCGGTGATTGTGATGCACTAATGCTGCACAGCTGACAGAAAAAATCAATTAACTGTTTTTGCTTGCATTTCGTTGTTGAATTAAAACAGTTTTCTGAACATATGGGATGGTAGCGGTTTCCACGATTACTTACCAGTAATAACGAAGTAAGCATGGAGCTAAAAACAGTTGTCGAGACGAGTGCAACCACAAGCCACGTTTTCAGCGGGAACGAGGTGACGTAGCCCCGAAGCGTGAAGTAGACGAATAGCCAGTCGCATATTCCAGTAATCGAATAAATCACGAAGCTGATCGCGTACAGTGTATGCATTGTGCGGCCTACGTGCACATAAACGCACACATTTTAATAGCGAATTTTTGTTAAAATTTTCGGAAGCACTAATGTGGACGCTCGACCACCTTTGTAAACGAAGCTGTTTTAAAATTCAGCCGCAGTGAAACATAAATTACTTGTTTACCATTATATCTGGAATAAAGATGTTTTCCTCTTTTAGTCCTCCCGTCCCCATCAGTCGTATTCATGAATCATTTCCCCTTCGCCACCTTCGTTCTCCCCTTATTTTTGGTCCTTCAGCTACGGTTTCTTTATTACCAACTTTCTTTTCGCGATCAGCAATCGGCTTGATGTCCTTTTCTTCCTTTACATACGAAAGTGTTTTTGTCATTCGGGGTCAACAGTTTCTCTCATCCCTCAGCTTCGTCGATGTGGAGGAAATGAGCTTCGATAACTTATCAGATTTTCTACTCGACGCCACCTCTACACAGACTCAATGTAGTTCAGCTCGATACTGAGATGCTAGTAGGATTCGATAAACAAAACGAATATCATAATTCTTCCTCTTCTGTTACTTTGTTTCTCGTTTGATATTTACGCTTCAGTTAAGTGCAGATGGCTGCGAAGAACATACTGTCACGTAACACACACTAGGCCACGCTAAGATCTATTACCGAACAAGGCAAACACAAATACTTATTCTTTGGCTCACTTTAAAATTTATGATTTTAGAAGACTGAAATCTCAAGGCCTTAGTGCGAAAGACTCAAAGAGTCTTCGAACGATTCCAATTCATTTTACTCGTTTGTTAAATCAGCCAGAAATATTCTGATTGTTGCCCGCACTGCATTCATTTACGTAATATTCAAACTTGAATTGCAAGATGTTTCAATCTGCCATTTAACAAGACATTTTTGTAAACTCGAGATTTAGGTCTACTAAAATTTATGTCACAATTCGCTTTTATTAGCTAGGGAAAACTCTCCTTCTTTCGGGATATTAAGCTGTATGCTCCTGAAAATTTGTCTTTGTTGAATCACTGTCTAGAGGGTAACCATACTTCAACTGACGGCAGCGGCACAAAAAGAATGAGGCGTAGGCGGGGATGGAGGAAGAAATGAGGGATGGAAGAATATAAGCCTATTTCAATATAAATTTCCTAAATTTCCGCAAATTCCTTCCTGTAGAAGTTTGAGTATTTAGCTCAAAATTCTGTCAAAAGACCTTTGTTTTGTCCTGAAAATAAATCTATTCCAGAATCCCCAATCTGAGACTACATCAGAAAGACTGAATCTCGGATGGGGTAGATTTCACAAATTTCACATTGTCGATGTTCTCAAAGTATCGAACCGGAAGGACCGAACCTGCTGTTCAGAACCGCTGCGCCGAAGGCAATGACGTACGCATGCGAAACATGGTCACTGACGAAAGCTGAAGAGCGCGCTCTGTCTGTAAGGAAGAGAGCGGTGGGACGAAGGCTGCTTGGCGTATCCTTTCTTGACCATGTAAACAATCAAACTCTAAGCCAAATGAGCAGCGTAGGATATCACTGCAGTCACGCAAAAAGTAAAGTCTGACGGAAAGGATGTTCTTCTTACCAACAAAAGATGGACAGTGTGAGTGGTGCCGCGTGAAAGGCTTGCGTGCTTTGGCATCCTGATAATATCATTCCCAGCATGTGTGGGCATCCTAGTAAAGTTATTAATCTTATATCTCCCACACCCATTATGATGAATATGTCATGTTCCTGATAATCTTGATGGCTGTACACATTGGTATTCTACAAAAACCTCTAAAAATAATTGAATTCCACCTCCTTTCTTCCTCCCCTTACCCTTCAGCAGAATTTCCACAATTTCCCCCTTTCTATTCCCTAAAAAATCTGAGTATTTGATCAAGCTTACTGGTGAGCCTAACGCTCGACTTTTACTTCTGATTTGAGGATTCGAAAAAAAGCGAAGTCGGGTAAGTGACAGTGGGGGAGATCAGATCCAGTAAGTTCAACATATAAGAAATTGCCTCCCTATCCAAACCAAGCAACTGATAAATTACATGAACTGATAGGTATAAAAAACCCATATCTTATCGTCTTGATAATCGGCAAATTACGTACTTTTTGAGCGCAACATTGGTGGGCCTTAGAGGGGCATGTATCAGCAAAGTGAACAAAATAATGCAGGTTTGAAAATACTGAGTAACATTAGTGTACTGAAGCGAATACTCGAACACGGTGCATTTTTTCCGACCAACTTTCAAGGCTGGGAGAGGCGAGGAACAATTGCTTGCATACAATTAATTCATATCCATGGATGAGATTGGAGAGCCAAACCAGTGCTGCACTTATGATTTATGCCAAACGCATAGTCCAACCATATTTCCCCATACTTTTTCCTTTTCCAGCAATAAAGTTTTATTCGACGTTTCGTATTTTCAATAGCCAAATTCCACTGGAACTCTTTAGTTCCAGCAAAACTCAAGCTTGGGATCTCGTTGTAGCACTTATCAGTTGACGAAGTTTTAGAAAGTTGCTCTCTTTCGTTAAATTTGAAGTAATCTGCCCGAATATCAAAATTGCTGAGCTGTCGATGTTTGAATTTTTTACATACTTCCCAATTCCCAAATTTTTAATTCTCTTGATATTTTTCAAGTTTCTGACAAAAAATTACAATTCTGTTTCTTCCGATGGGACTCACAGCTATGTACGAAATTATCTGTATATTCCAGCACTCATCTTTTGAAATAAGAGGAAGCAGCAAGGTAGCAAAATCACAGTAAAGAAGAGGATATAAAAGCGTACAGAATGTTAGTGCTGGAAGAAAGCATAGTTCTTGGCAAGTAAGTAGATACGCATAAAGAAAGCTTCTATTCCTAGCACACTTTTTTTCACAGATTTTTTTGTGCCTTAAGTGGACTCAACTATCCTTGAAGTGCCTGCGAAACAAAAAATCTGAAAGTTCTGGCACAAAATCTTTCAACCGATCACAGAATTTTTTTTTTTTGGGGATTCTGAGGGTTATTAACCACTGAGGCAACTTCGAGCAGGTGTACATTTATTGAACAGAGGGAGAGTACCAAACTGCAATATGCGTTTCAAGACCGACAGGCCCGACAGAGCGGCGCATTTAAATAAAATATTAATATTACTAACATGTGTTACCCAAACTGATAGCCTGGATGGTCTTGGTGTTTTATGGTATTTTTTCTGAAAACTGAAAAATTATAAATGCATGTGAAAATACTGTTACCGAGAAGTTCTTCCCCTGAATGTGTATGAAAGGCTGCGTTTTAAAGATCTCACTAAGACAACATGACCAAGATTGCTTCCATTTTCAGCGCTCACAGTTTCGCGCATGCAAATTACCTGTTTGTGTATGTTTTGTCCGAATAATTACACTTCAGAATGGGATAGAAACTGAAAAACAAACTACACTTTCAAAACTTCAGTTCCCCTCAGATATGTAAAGATCGAGAATTTAGAAATAGTCCAATTTCCACAATTAATTTTGACCTAATCCGCTAGTCACGTTCACATTCAGGATTGCGGCATATTTTTTAACTAAAACAAATCAGGGATTCAAAGGTTTCATTTGATGGCGCTTTTGAGGACCAATGTTTTCTGATCACAACGACTCAATTCAAAAAGTTTCTGCGAGTGTTACAGTCACTTTTGCGTACTTCCAAGTATGCATAAACCGCTAGTAAGAAATTCCAGAGTGCGCATCCCTTCTCAGTTCCTTCCGATTTTAATCCATGCGCACAGGCTCAAAACAAACCACTAAGTAATGGGAGGCTCGGACTGTGCAGGGCGAAACCTGAGGTGTACAGAGTGTTCAGCAACACCAGAACATTGCCCGAGCTCGGGCTTGATAGCGAGATTGGATTGATCGAATCTGACGACGTCGCATCCGGCACTGACATCCCGCGAACCGAACTACAAAACGCTCAATTATTAAGTGTTT